TTAAGTTGACATTAAAAAGTGAAACTTGCTTCCTAGAAATAAACTAGAACCTAGGCGTCGTGACCTTGGTGCCTAAACACCAGTTTGGTGCCTTGTAGTCAATGCTCTAGAGCTTAGACGCCACCCAGGTGGCACCTACTTTCCCGGGTCTCGGGAAAATGAAAAATAAACTAGAACCTAGGTGCCGCGACCTTGGTGCCTAGACACCAGTTTGGTGCCTTGTAGTCAGTGCTCTAGAGCTTAGACGCCACCTAGGTGGCACCTACTTTCCCGGGTCTCGGGAAAATGATAGTTTTTTGAGCATTTTGGGCACCTTGGTGCCCGGGGCGGACGCTTATGAGGCTAGTCTGGTGCCCAGACCCCAAAAACTAGTGCCAGACTTCCATGGGCTTGCTTTTAGACGTTCAAGAGGGAATTTTGGTGCTAGGTGCCCGGGGCTGACTCCTAGGTGCCAATCAGGATTTTCTTGATCTGAAAGCTATGGAAGACCACATGTGACTTAATTATGATCAACTAACTTCAAAAATGAGTATTTTTCTCATCCATTTATCATATAATCTGTAGCCAATGGGTGCTTTGAACTACAGCGTGAGTAAGACATTTCGAACCCTAATTTTCTCATTGTGATTTCTCTTGACCCCGGAGAGGCTCCAAATGGAAACAAAGGGACATATAAACACTAGATTGGACATCAAACATGTAGGAATGCTCTTCGTAGGCCCGCTCCATAGCGGGTTCTCCTGGGTAAGGACAATTATCGCAAAACTTGTTTTCGTGCCTTCAACACGTATCAGAGGTCTCAGATGGGTGTCTTGAGTTATGTGATGCTATGAATGAACTGTGAACCATCACGAGCTAGTTGAATGGATACTCTACACATGTGACATAAGAAATTGACACCAACGGGCTTGACAGACACTAGTGTGACTAGTCTAACTTTTGATCTATAAACATACAATATGAATGATCTTTTATAGGAAATAATATTACATTAGTACTACGCACGTAGAGTAATGTGCGTAGCCAATGAAATCACGCCACGAGGAAAAAAAAACGGCGCGGTAACACGGGGAATATTCCTCTCGTGTTATTCATGTGTTATTTATGTGTTATTGTGTATTATTCATGTGTTACTGATGTGTTATTGTGTTATTATAATACCAAAAATATTCTCAGGACACAATAACACATGAATAACACACAATAACACCATAATAACACAGAGAAATATTCCCGACAGAGAAAAAATGACGCGGTAACACAGATGAATATTCCCCCCCATGTTATTCATATGTTATTGTGTGTTATTCATGTCTTATTGATGTGTTATTGTGTTATTATAACACCAGGAATATTCTCAGGACACAATAACACATGAATAACACAGGGGAAATATTCCCCGTGTTACCCCCATCTGCTGCGCGCGATCGCGGGACCGTTTTTTTTCCTGTCGTGCGGGGTGTAGTGTCGTGATTTTATTGGCTACGCACGTTACTCTACGTGCGTAGTACTGATGTAATATTTTTTTTCTTTTTTTTTGGCTTTTTTTTTGCTTTTTTTTGGTTCTTATAATCAACGCAAATATGTCACCCATTCACAATTGTAGTTGGTGTTAATTCGTTTTTTTCATTTTAATGACATGAGACCACCCTTATTTGACACACATAGATCAAACTAAACCAAATACTACTTAATATTGGACATTAATACCCACATCCAACCAATAATTTCTTTCTTCAACTCCTCTTTTAGATTAGATTTAGCTATCTTTGAACATTTCTAGGTAATAACTTTTAATGATATGCAAGGGTTTATTTTTAGTTAATAATATTCTTTAGTATATAGCTTATTTGGCCCGGCATACGATATTCTGAAGGCTGAGGCAAAAGATAGATCTTCTGTGGGTCCCCCGCGGACCCGGATACTATTACGTCTATTTTTCGGTTTTGAGATACAGAGAGAAGGAACCATTGAGGATCGATCTTTCTTTCGATCGGTGCGTATTTACGATTTGAAGTTTCATGGAGAAAGGAGAGTCGTCGAGCCCGGTATACGAGCGGCAGAAGAGCTTGTCGGGGTCGACGACCGGCAACCCTACGTCTCCAATAATGTCTCCGATGAACCGACACGTCCGATCAGGATCCGTCGGCATTGTTAATTTCCGGCGAACGCAGAACTCAGCGGCGCGAGCAGCTGCTCAGCGCCTCGCTCGCGTAATGGCACACAAGCAAGCCGAAGACGAGAGCAGCGAAGACGACGATGTTGCCGCTTTGCCGCCGATTGAGCTTTCCACTCCACGTCGAGCTAATCGGTTACCCTCCCCTGCGGTATCTTTTCTAAATTATCTCTTTCTCGATCTTATTTTGACGCATTTAGATTTCAATGTATTGAAGTTCAGGATCACAAGGTAAAAGAAAATAACGTGTTTATTTGTTGGATGAGCCTAGCATGCTATGAGAACTGCTGGAAGTGTGGTTGTTATCCAGTCGAGGTGAACATTCGCGGGGCAGATATAGTCGGAAAAAAATTGCGTGCGATAGATAGACGTACGCAGCGCTGCGTGCGATATTGGGGTTATACCGAGGGTACAAGGGGGTTACATCCACGGTATAACCCCTTGTAACCTCCCTGTAACTTGTTGTAACCTATCTGTACTCTAAAATAAGTTTCGCACTTCTGTTATCATATATTAAGAGGTTACACGTAAGTTGCATGGAGGTTACAGGGGCTTATACCGTGGATGTAACCCCATTGTACCCTCGGTATACCCCAATATCGCACGCAGCGCTGCGTATGTTTATTGCACGCAAATTATTGCACGCAAATTTTTCCACGCAGCGATGCGCGTGATGCCTAATCACAAAACGCCACGTAATTTTACCGGGCCCACTCCATTAAATAAATATATTAATTCGAAATAAAACCGCGCGTGACCCGTTACCCGGCCCGCGGTGTAACTCCATTGTACCTCAATTTGTAACTTCAATATACCTTCCGCGGTCGGCCTGCTGTAACCCGATTGTAACCGCAGTATATAAGCCATATACCTTTCTCGGTAGAGGGCAATCTACCCCTCTTGTAACCGGAGTATATCCTAGATATACCTTCCTCTGTTCAGGGCCATGTAACGCGCTTGTAACCGTGATATACCCTATCTGTACCTTCCTCGGGTTTAACCTGTCTGAAATCGCAGAAAGAGCTTTGTAACTCGTTATATACCTTCATATAACGCTGAAAGCTGCGGAAGTAGCTTTGTACTATCGTTGTAACTCGATTATAATCGCCATATAATAGAATTTGAAGCCCGTATAGTGGAACAACACTTGTAACCGCATAGATTAGAGATTGTACCCCCATTGTAACTGCCATGTAACGGAGGATTATGCCCTTTCAGTTGCAACCGCGCTTGTACCCTGAATGTAACTTCGTTGTATATGATTTAAATTGGTGAGCGCGAAGCATGGTATTTAAGCAGCTAGGTTTACTGTTTCATTGTTCGCTGACCATTTCCTCCTGCAGCGGCAGCTTCGGGCTTTTCGGCCATCCACTCTTGAGCTTGAAGATGGAGTACGACTACAGAGAGTGCTTCGACGCAGAAGGAGAAGATGTGCGTTATCCGGACAGGACAGAAGAAGTAGAACTTAAAATGGAAGCATGTTTGGAGTGTGTTGTTATAATAATTACTATACATGATTTCCTTTATCTTCTTTGCTGTAATGGTTTTCTTATATTTCAGATATACCTGTTTTTTGTATGTATGTTGTGTTATGTTTCTTCTGTTTTGTGTACGTTTTATTATAATTAGATCTAGGTTTTTCTTAAACAGAGGCATGTTTGCATAGTTGCACGGTATTATGTGTAATAAGAACGGTGAAGTAAACATTGGAGTAATTAATATATCCTTCATTGCACTCAAGTTTTTAGAGGTATATGATTTTAGGTTAGTTGTTGATTTTTTATTTTGAGGTGTCATGATGAAGTTTAGGGATATTTTTTTAACTCTCTATCGAGTCTAACATTTTATTCTATTGCTTGCAGTTTGGTGAGAGCAATGGTAGTTGTACCGAGCAAAGAAGAAACATATTACTCGAAACGTTGGTCCA